AGTGAGCGCAAGCTAGATTAAATTGATTTTTACATTTTAAATATGGATATTTTCTTACAAAAACGCATCGATTCGCTACAGGAGGCCTTTGTTCACCCCCCGGAGCCGTGTGAGGCACTTTTTTATTATGGATGGATGCGCTTTATTTAACTGCTTTGGGACTGATGCACTGCAACACCCGCTGACTTCCATTAAACAGCTTGGAAGATCAAAGACAATTTTTTAATATAACTCCGACTGGATTCGTCTAAAAGAAGAAAGTCATATACACCTAGGATGCCTTGAGGGTGAGTAGCCTAATTCATGGGCTAATTTTCATTTTTGGGTGAACTAACCCTTTAATACACACACACACATATATACATACATATTTATATATACGCATATATATACACACACATATATATATAAATTTGACCCCATAATACAGGGGTGTCCAAACTCAGTCCTGGAGGGCAGAGTTACGGAGTTTAGCTCCAACTTGCCTCAACACACCTGCCTGGAAGTTTCCGACATGCCTAATAAGACCTTGATTAGCTGGTTCAGGTGTGTGTAACTGGGATCGGAGCTAAACTCTGCAGGATAGTGACCCTCCAGGAGCAGGATCAGACACCCCTGCCATAATACAAATGGAGGGCCTATTTTATTAATACAGCAGCAGGATTTGAAATAAAAAGTTTATCCAAAAATGAACAATTCTGTCATCATTCACTCACCTTCATGTCAGTTTAAACCTGTATGCGATGTTAGGCAGACTGACAGCCTTTGGTGGCCATTCACGTTCATTATATGGAAGATGATGCAATGAAAGTGAATAGTGACTGAGTTACACTGCCTAACATCTCTTTTAGTGCCCCACATAACAAAGACAGTGATACCGGTTTGGAACAACATATGATTAAGCAACAAAGGTGACCTTTTTTTGTGAACTATACCTTTAAATCGACAGCAACCCATCTCGAGACCTGTACATGGCCAGTTATAGCTGTGATGAGTGTTTACTCCCCCCTCCTAACAGATCAGCACTGAAATGATGATGTCACCTCTTCTGGAAATCAACAACATCGCGGTATCGGGGCATGCGAGCACAGCCACCACAAGCGTACAGAGGCTGTGTCTCAAAAATAGCGTGCTGCCTACCAAGACCGCGTTTCTGGGCATCATGGCGCGTCCTGAACAAATCGACCGTTTGGAACGCGCCTAATACGCTCATAAATTCATTTAGAACGCGCGTGATGGCCAAAGATTATGTTTGTTTGGGTAGACGGCTCACTTTGGGATACAGCCAAAGAAGACTGGTTTGTTTGTTTAGTTCGTGTGATTATCGTTAATCATCAAGGTCTGTGCGCCGGTGTGATCGGTATGTGTACAGACATGTTTTCAGACAGACAGCGGTGTTGTGACAGTGAACGGCACTGAGCAAACTCCCAGTTTACATGATAAATACTATTCTAATACACGTTAAAGCGTCGGTCTGTGTACTCTGTCGGACATCTGAGTTACGAATCGGGAAAACAGGCGAACATCATCATTTGAACACGAAAGCGGCACTTACCCGTATCGCCTCCACCCGACGGCGCTGCCATATTAGCATGAAAATAGGTGAAAACTCTTCCGCTGCGTGACGTCAATTTTTGGACAGGAAGGAAGTCGCTCGCGAGTCTGATGCAGCACACTTCAAATAATAATAGGGATTTAGAGGAAACGGTCTTGACATGTTAAAAAGATCTCATTATTATGTTACAAGCTAGCAGAACAGCATCTGCACCAAATTGCATATTTTGCTCAGTTTGGGCTTCAGAATATAATTGAAGTGTTTTTCCTCTTCAAATATGAGTTCAATATTCTCTTTATATCACACTATATGAGTCATAAAAGCATTAAGTATCACATAAAACACACACATACAAACTTTTTATTACATTTAAAAAAAAATGTGTCTAAAGGTTCAATAAACTGTTCCGTTATTATTATTATTACTATTACTAATCAAATACTAGTAGTCTGCTTATTCCTGTTGCTACTTATCAGCAAGTAATTATGTTACAGGTTATCTTTACTCTATCTGTGTAGAATCACATCGAAGATTACATTTAATATTTCTTTCAGCCTTTCAGAGCATACTTTTACTGAATTTAAATTATGCCCAAACATAGGTTATGATATTTATAATAAATTTGAACCTAAACAAGTTTTTATTTACATCATGGTAAAACACAGTGTTGGGAAGGTTACTTTGGAAATGTAATAGGTTACAGATTACAAGTTACCATATCTGAAATGAAAGCATAATTTCAATTATTTTATTAAAGTAATGTAAGTGATTACATTTGATTGCTTTTCTAAATTTCTAATGTTTTCAACTGTTAATCATTTTCAGACATGTTAACCAGGCAGGGTTAACCTTACAGTAGTATTCAACACTGATTACTGTCACTTTCGAAATCCTTCATCAATTTAATTTTAAAGCACAGCCACCACAAAATCAGACTTGCTTTCAGATCATTCTGAGGTTAAATACAGATTTAAAATAATAACAAGAAATAGTTTAGTAGCTATGATGATACTGTTTTTGAAATTCTCTCTCTGCATATACATAAACCCAAATAGGAAATAAAACAATTATCGAATAAGCATGTGTCCGATTCTGTGTCCTAAACTCCTGAAACATTGGTGTCTCATATTTTAGAGCAGTCAGTACAATTCATGAAAGAAATCAAATAAATTTGTATGTGGGTGTGTGTGAAAAATTCAAATGTAACGTTAACCCCCTTTGTAATCGTTAACATTTTCATAAGTAACTGTAATTTTATCTCAGTAACTGTGACTGATTACAATTAAATTTATTTTGTAATTAAATTACGTAACGTTGATTAATTACATGTAACTAGTTACTTCCCAACGCTGGTAAAGAAATATGAGAGATTACAGAATTCAATACCTTCTCAACACTGAAATTAGACGGTAACCAACCACACGACGCACACAGTGTCGTTACAGCGATTTTAAAGTAGTTTAAATGTAAATAATCAAATAACCACGGATAACGGTTAAGGCTAGATGGCATACAGCAAAAACTACTGGGCATGCGCACATCAATATACCGTAATTTTTCTCACACTGTACAACAATAATTACTATTTTTGCATTATTGTAAGGGGTAGGTTTAGGGTTGGGGTAGGTGTAGACGTTAATAAAACACAATGTAATAGGTAGAAAATTCAATTTATTGTTAGCTTCCTGTTTTTGCTGTATCCCAGGCCTGACAAACCGGGGCTACTGGGACAAACCATAGACATAATAAACACCCACAGTGTGTCGTCACGTCCGCGGAAACCGCTCTTCCGTCTGTCTCGCGCATGTGTAGTCCTCTTTACGACTCGGCTGGCGAAGATGGCGGACATACAGGTATGTGAGTCTGAACGGCGTGGTCGTGAAAACCCGGTTGGTTTCACATTAAACTTAAGCTCAAAGCCACAAATTCTGGTAGATAAGCGGCAAAGAAACCACCATGGATGCAATCATGGCGAAATGGATCACATTGGAGACTCGAATATGTGTTTTCCGTCCCCGGTTAACGGGTAGGAAGCGTTGATGAACGGGAAGGCGAGCGGCCTTGCCTTATCCGACCAGCAGAAAGTGATTTTATTTAAACATGCAACTGTTTAGTTTGCTTAAAGTTGTGATATAAATAAAATAGCTTTGTCTTATTGAGTGGTAAAATGGCCGAATTTGTCTGCAAGGAATGGATAGCACATGGATGTCATCCAGAAGGAATAGTCTTCCGACTCTAAAAAGAGAGCTCTAAAGATGCCGTCTATGTAGTTATCTCTATAACATTTGTAGAGCCTTATTGTGGATTTGTACACGTGCCCTTAATGGGCGGTGAGCTGCAAATGATGTTTTTTCTCACGATGGTCTTCCAAGTCTGTCAGGCTCTGACGACACTGCCGTATGGCATCACTGATGCAGCATAAAATCCCTGAAGTGTTTTGAAATAGCTTTTTAATTTGGAAAACACTTGGCTCCGAAAGTTCTTCAGGTTTGGTGTAGGTGAGGATATACTAATAGTCCAGGATGTCCAATGGAAACCTTAATCAGACTTGTGTTCTGTAACTTTATATAAATGTTACTCCAGCACATGCATTAGTTTGTCAGGAATATGACTGACTCTGTGCTTGTGGTGTTTCAGAACGAGAGGGCTTATCAGAAGCAGCCCACCATCTTCCAGAACAAGAAGCGGGTTCTGGCTGTTGAAGGAAGTGGCAAAGAGAAGCTCCCACGTTATCACAGAAACGTTGGTTTGGGCTTCAAAACCCCCAGAGAGGTGAGCTTGTGTTTACACGCAAGTGTAACTTTACTTCGCAGATGATGTCTTTTCTCACGATGGTCTTCCTAGACTCCAAGAGAGCTCTGAGGATACTGCCTTTGGCAATGCTGATGCAGTTGATTATGCTACCATTGTGCAACCTCAGTTGAGTTCAAATGACTAAAGTTCTTGTGCTTCATTCCACAGGCTATTGCTGGCACTTACATTGATAAGAAATGCCCCTTCACTGGAAACGTGTCCATCAGAGGCCGGATTCTGTCTGGTAAGTCTACGTAGTTTGCTGGCTAATTGTAGTGTTATCTGGGGTGCAGATGATGTCTTATCTCACGATGGTCTTCTGAACCATTTGGGTTTTGAGGATAATGCCTAATGGCTTTACTGATGCTTCCCTGTATCTAATTTTGCTGTATCTTAGTCCTTATTGGAAATCGAAGATTCTGTATGCTGGCCATTGATATACAATGTATGTGAACTTATTTGGTTGTCACCTTTTTCCAGGTGTGGTGACCAAGATGAAGATGCAGAGGACCATCGTCATCAGACGGGACTACTTGCATTACATCCGCAAGTACAACCGTTTTGAGAAGAGGCATAAGAACATGTCTGTCCACCTCTCCCCATGCTTCAGGTAAAGTTTCTCCATTGGTGGTTTCTTTTAGGGGCTGAACAATTTTGTAGACCCTTTTTGTGGATTTGAACACATGCTTTAAATGGGCGGTGAGCTGCAAATGATGTTTTTTCTCACGATGGTCTTCCAAGTCTGTCAGGCTCTGACGACACTGCCGTATGGCATCACTGATGCAGCAGATAATGCTTAAAATGTTTCTTTGCCCTCAAGGTGTTTGGGATTATAAGTAGTTTAGTTTGGGAGATATTTGTATAAATTTTGATTACTGAATGTTTTTCTTGAATATCACTAATAATGTTCTCCATTTGTTTAGGGACGTGACCGTAGGCGACATCGTTACAGTAGGAGAATGTCGACCCCTCAGCAAGACAGTGAGGTTCAACGTCCTGAAGGTCACCAAGGCAGCTGGAGCCAAGAAGCAGTTCCAGAAGTTCTAGAACTGTTTTAACAATATGGCACCTCTGTATTGTTTGTGGAAAATAAAATAAAAAATCTGTTTGTTTTTACGGTTGATTTGGTCTGCAAGTCACTTTGCACAAGCATCCTGCTCTTATATATCCCTCAACATTTCATATTTTGGATGGCCCCTTTTAACACCTGATTCAAATGACCAGCAGATATATACTCAAGTGTTTGTAACAGGGCTGTCCAAACTCGGTCCTGGAGGGCTGGTGTCCTGCAGAGTTTAGCTCCAACCCTAATTAAACACACCTGAACCAGCTAATCAAGCTCTTACTAGGCATAGAAACTTCCAGGCAAGTTGGAGCTAAACTCTGCAGGACACCGGCCCTCCAGGACCGAGTTTGGACAGCCCTGGTTTATAAACTTGTACTTATCAATATTGTAGTACATCTTTTATTATAGTAATATTTTGAATAGGCTTTTTTTATATTTTCAGTCCATTCTAATTTAAGTTTTAGTAATGTTACGTTTGTCATTTTAAAAATATTTCTAGTAAGTTTTTTTTTTTTTTTAGTACTGTGACACTTGTTTTAATGTTCATAAACTCTCAAAGCATTTTTTACCTTTTATCTGAAACTAGTAGTCAACATTAACTTGGTATGTATCAGTGTGACTGATAAGTTTATGTAGGTTATAAGCTCAGCTTTGTCGTTTCTGTAGTTTTGTAGACTGGTGTTTAATTAATTTAATGTTCATGAATAATTTAACTTTGCTAGCCAAATAATTTATAGTTTTTATTTTATACTTGTCACTATTGAGAGACTGGCTTACACATTTAGAAATATCTATGCATATCCTCACATTTTATGAGTGCTCTACATCTGATTGTACGTGGTAAAATCCATTAAGCTTTAGCGGCAGCAGTTGCTGTAATAAAAGGCAGATACAATTTGAACTCAGTGAGGTAGAAAATAGATGCTATTTGCTTAGTTTGTTTAATAGGACTAGGTGTTATGATCCCAATATTCAGCACCATTTAGCCGTTAACCATTTAGTATTAGGTGCTATTATCAAAAAGTGTAAATTAAAGTAATATCTTATTCGCCTTTGCCAATAATCTCGGCTAAATTGAGACTAGTTTTCCTCTCGGCACACCACTGTACTATTACCCCAAACTCGAACACATCCAGCAGATGACGCTGCGTCACTCACTAGTGCTGAGCGCGGCAACGCAACACGTCACCTGCATAC